ACATTTGGGGGGGGCAGGAAAATCAGGGGGCTGCAATTGTATGGGGAATATAAAAATAAAACACACACACACACACAAAAGAAACACCACATTATAAGATTGTAGAAATTTCAGGTGTGCATCATTAAAATTAAATATTTTTGCTTTCACTAAAATTAATCATAGATTTAAAAAAAAAACAAAAACCAATCATTTAGTGGATCTACCATATGACCCAATAATTCCACTCCTAGAAATCTACCCAAATGACACAAAACATTAATTTTAAAGGAAACCTGCATTTCTCTGTTTATAGAAGCTCTATTTACAATAGCCTAGATATGGAAACAACTTAAGTGCCCCAAGACAGATGACTGAATCAAGAAGATGTGGTCTATATATGCAATGGAATACTACCAGCCATTAAAAAAGATAAACTCATGCCATTTGCAGAAACATGGACGGAGCTGGAAGGGATGATGCTCACTGAAATAAGCCAGAAGGAAAAAGAAAAATATTGGATGGTTTCACTTATAGGAGGAGTATAGGGAAATCAAACAAAGGGTCAAAAGAAAAATACAAAACTTGCAGGCAACTATGGATTGGAAGCATTCAGCAGGGGAGGAGAAAGAAGGGGGTCAAAACAGGGGAGGGAAGAGCACAAGGGACTATGGTGATGGTTCACCATATGATATGGTGTTGGGAGATTTATGGGGACTACATCTGAGGGAACAAATCAAATATTGTACAAAAATAAGCAACGATGTAAGAAAATATTACTTTAGTAATAAAAAAAGATTGAAAGCAAAAAAATAATGATCATCATTTAGAAAGGATACTTATTTTAGTAAAAACATGTTCCTCACTCAAGTAATGATTAGGTTTCTTTCCCTCAAGAACTTCCAGCAGTAATAAAAACAAGAACAACTCCTCCTACCCAAAGTTAACTTTTCAGCTGAAAAGACAAAAATGTCACTTCTGCCCAGGGAGATGAGAAGCACAGTTATCCTCAGATGACCAAGCCCTGGTCTTGGCCCCAGGTGGTACATGCTTTTCCCTTGTGATTTGCCCTGCAGTATCCCTGCCTTCTAAGCTTGTCATTCATTTCCTCCTCCTCTTATCTATAGGCATAGAAGAACTGAGATGCAGGCCAGAGGTGCAGGTGGTGAGAGGATTTAACAGAGACAGAGTGAGGAGCAGAACAGGTGGATCTACTGAAATCCACTGCTGAGGGGAGCAGTGGATGAGACAGGAGAGGTCTGCCTGGCCATGTGGATCACCTCCCTGGCTGGGGATGGAACTCAGGCCACATCGATAGCTTGGTAACCCTAAGACTTTAACCCCTACACCACCAGAGAGACCCAATTTTGATACTATTGATCAAAACTCATATACACGAAGCCTGTTAGTGCCAGGCCAGATTTATTTGGGAATCTGAAAATCCCAAATGTGGGTTTTCCCTGCAAGCATATTTTTCCTGTAAGCACACAGCTGTCCTACAGGACAAACCAGCAGAGTGGGTATACCTGAGTGAGTACAGGGTGAAGTTGGGGTGAGAGCTGGGATGGGGCTTATGTTCAGGCTAATCCTCTCTGGGGTGACCAATCATTATTCACAAAGCCACCCCTCTTTCCTGGAGCCACACCAAAGAGACAGTGTATGGGCCACTAGAAAAGTTCTAGATGACCTGAGGTTAGTTACCTCTCCTTTGGCAGTACAGATTCCTTTTCCAGCCTACTAGCCAAAGTAGATGCAGAAATTTTGTCTTAGTTCCACAGGACAGTGCACAATAAAACCTGCAATGTGTCTTGACTACCTTAGAACCATTTTGGGAAATCTGCCCAGTTGGGAAGCTCCACAAATAACATTAGATACAACCAACAAGGTGTTGGAATTTAGAGCAAATTGACTCCCTAGACTCAGGGAGAAGTGGTTGCCATTTGAAAGCAGAGTGACCTGGGGCTCCTTCCACCTCCTGGCACACCAACATATGTTGTTTCAACATATGGACTATTTTAGAGACAGGCACAGAGAATTGAATCTGGAATCAAGTGTCTTGTGCCAATTAGAGCTGTGTGGGCTTGGGGAAATTCCTTGTCTTCTGAGTCAGGGATCAGGATGGTCTGTACCTCTCACCAATTTTTTTTTTTAATTTCTTTTTTTTTTGTGTGTAGAAGAACTGGGTTGTAGGCCAGAGGTGCAGGGCTGAGAGGATTCCCCAGACACAGAGTGGGGAGTAGAACAGGTGGATCTACTGAAATCCACTGCTGAGGGGAGCAGCAGGTGAGACAGGAGAGGTCTGCTGTGCAGTGTGGGTCAGCTCCCAGGCTGGGGACTGAATTCAAGCTGTAGCTGTGACAGTGCTAAGACTTAACCCCTAGGAGACCCCCTCACAAATGTTTAAGGATTAAATGGCTGACATGTGTAAAGCACATGACTTGCATTTTGTCTCTTTATAAGCACACAGTGAGGGCCTCCCCTGGTGGTGCAGGCGGTTGATCGCGGCGCTGTGAAACTGTCCACAGCTTCTGCAGCGCCTGTTCCATCCAGGCCGGCCGGTGAGGGTCCCACATGGCGAAGCAGACCTCTCCTGTCTCACCCGCTGCTCCCCTCAGCAGTGTATTTTGTCAGTCTGCCTGTTCTGTTCCCCGCTCTGTCTCTGGTGAGTCCTCTCACCCTCCCGCAGATCTGGCCTGTTCCCTGGTTCTTGTATAAATAAATAAATCTTTAAAAAAAAAAAAATAAGCACACAGTGAGTGTGGGGCCTGCATCACCACACCCCTTGCTCCCAATTGAGAGACAGCAATTGAGTTTAAGTGTTGAGCTGCTGCAAGAACTTCTGATAGGAAGTCTACTTCCAAGCAGACCTGGAGAAGCACAAAAAGTACCCAGCTCTCTCCAGAACACACCCTACCCTGGGGCCCTTCTCCACACAAAAAGGAAGTTATGGTCCAGTTCCAGGTTGTCAACTAAAACCTTAGATGAGGAGTGAATGAAGGCCTTTGCAACTCTAGGCCCAAGGGTGTCTAATTGCAACTGTTTATAGCACCATGATTAAGACAGAGCGTGGACTTTGAGTTCACACAGAACCAGAATCTCTTTCCTTACTTTCCTCTTTACCACTCCCTGCCTTGAAGAACATGGCCAGTTCACGGTGTCTGAACTGCTTTCTAGTTTATGCCAAGAGGAAAATACCTGCGTGATTGGAAAGGATTAAATGAGATCATATTTACTTGTGACATTTTAAATGAGGAGTAAAAGCTCAATTCAGCAATGTTGCACTCAATTCAATAAATGTTAGGTATCTCATGTCATTTTCTGCGTAGAACTTCCGCAAGAAGTTAACGTGCTAAAGATAAGTTTGAGATGAGATACTCTTCAAAGAAACACTGATGAATACAGTTTGCTTAACCAGGTCAACATTTCAACAGGTTTAGGAGCTCCATGCACAGCTTACCTACTTTGCCTGAAAATGCATAATTCTTACCTTATTCGTAAGAATTATTTGTGCCGGGCAGGTGCATACTATACTGATGTTGTATTTCATACTGATATTTTATGCCTTGGTTGGGGGGTGGGGGAGGAGAAGAGCCAACTTTTTAATCACCTGTAATATATTACTATGATATGGGTACAATTAACCTTCCTTTTTACATCTGGGGAAACAGGACTAGGGCAAACAGGTGAGGGAAGCTGACATGTGTCTAAACTTGAACGCTGGTCTGTATATGGCATCCTTTGCCTCTTTCCGTGTGCGCTGACTTCAGTTTCAAGAGCATTCTTGAACCAAGAGGGACCCCATGCTACCTTCTGAAGGGGACAAAGACTTTAGTCCATTATGAAAACTTGGAATTTGGTCTTCCTTTCCCTTTTCCAGCGGTGATTTTGCTTTTAAAGCGACAGCCACTTCATTCCAGTGACGACTGTCTCCTCGCTTGGAACGCTCCAGGTAGATTAATTTTTTAATTATGATTCACCTTCCCTTTCCTGTTTTGATGGAACACAGAGACACATGCGTTCATGTCAATAAAATGTTCGGTTTCCACCCTGTACATTCGCGCTGCAAAGAGAATCTAATTGGCAGGTGGATTTTCCGTCGCCATTTTAAGGAAACACAACTCCCCCGCAAGGAAGAGCCCAGTCCAAAGGGTCTGTGCCCGAAACAAAGAGTAAGCGAAAGAAAGGGAGACGGCCTGCTCGCCCCCTCCCCTCCGACATGCTCCCCGGCTCGGCCCGAGCCCGGGAGGTGCAGCTCGGCTCAACCCCCGCGCCGCGGGCTGGGCGGGATCGCGCGGGACCTCCGGGCCGGGAGAACCCGCTCGGCCTCTCCGCGCCCAGGCAGGTGCGAGCCCAGCCTTCGACGCGTCTTTGGGGGCGCGCCACACCCAGCCCCCAAACAGCCCTACCGCTCAGATCCGGGGCAGCCCGGCGAGGTCTGCGGGTGTGGGGTCCGGCGGAGGGAGGCGCCTCCAAGGCGGGTCAGAGACAAAGGGCTCTCAGAGGTGCCTGCGCGCGGCTCCCGGCCCGCTCCCCAGAACCAACACGCCGCCCCGCCGCTGCCCACCAGCCCCGGGCTCCTCTCGTGGCCTTCCTCCCGCGGCGCCCTACCCAAATGCAGCTCCCCTCGCCCCTCGCTCCTGGCCGGGCCCTGGCGTACCCCAAAAGTGCCGCCCCGCTCCGGCACACGGGCCTGCTCTCTGAAAGGACCCCCTTAGTCGCTCCACCTCCAGCCCCGAGGGCCCCAGTCTCCGGCCGCCGCCGCAGGGTGCTGGGCTCGCTGTCGGGGCCCCGGGGTCGGAGGCAGGTGTCCAAGGAGCGCGCCGCCTGGGCCCCTGCAACCCCCAGTCGGGGCGCCCGCACGCGCGCCCCGCCGCCCCCCCTCACCCCTGCGGGTGCTCGGCCTCCTGCGCGCGGCGGTGAGGCGCGGCCGCGGGCAGGGGCGCCCCGTGACCGCCGCGCAGGAGCGCGCAGCGCGGTGGAGGCGGGCGCGCTGGAGGCGGGAGGCATGGGCTGCCCGACCCTCCCGTGAAGCCCGCGCGATGGCCGCGCGAGGGCCGCCCGCTCCGCGGTAGGAGATGCCTCGGACCCGAGCCCCGCAGCGCCCGAGCGTATCGGTGAGAGTCCGAGCCCCGCGGGCGTCGTGGGGGTGGGGGTACGGGTGGGGGGTGCTGATGCAATCGGCCTCGAGAGGAGGAGGCGAGCGGGAGAGCGCGGGCTGGGGCTTCAGAGCCGCTGCCTGAAGGTCGCCGGGAGCCTCGCCCTTCACCTTCGCGGCACCCGCCTCCGCGCCCGGCCTCCCGCCGCTGCTCGCCCGCCGCGGCGCCGGGTCCCGGCGAGGCCGCCAGACCTTGACACAAAGGACAGCGCGCGGCCGGGGACATCCCGGCAGGGCGGACACCTTGGCGGCTCCTCTGGCCACCTTTCCTTTTATTGCCCGAGGTGAGGCGATTTAACGGCCCCGGGGGGGAGAGGGCGCGGCGGCGCGAAGGGAGGATGCTCTGGCCGGGCGGAGGGGACCTGGAAGTCACCCGCTTGGACGCAGGGGGTGCGCGGCTTGCCGGGTGCTTGGGGTTCTGCTTTAGGGGAAGGAGAGGTCCTGCCCGCGGGTCTTCCGAGCGCTCGCGGCAGCGCAAAACAGACCGGTCCTGGCTGCACCTCCGAGGAGCCGTGGCTTACTTTGGGGTCTGTTTTCTCCGCGCGTGCCACCGAATCTGGTGAAACTGCACGGGGGCCAGGGGACCTCAGGATTCTGGAGGGAGCTCGGCAGACGCGAGGACGCGGCCGCACACCTGGGGGCTGTTGGAACCCGGACACTGGGGGGAATGTCCTGTGTCCTCGGGGCTCGGGGGAGGGCACGCGAGGTCCTGGGGGTGTGCGTGAGGCCGGCTGGGTCTCGGGGGGCTGGCAGCCGCACTGGGGGGAGCATCTTTGCCGCCTGGTCCTGGAGCTCGCCCCCCCCAACCCCGCCCGGGTAACGGAGGGACGAGGGAGGACGCGGGGGGATTGCTACAGGATGCTGGAGGTGACTCACTGGCCCTTCTCGCCCCGGAGAGGCTTCTTTGCAGCTGACGAAGAAGCAAAGGGGGAGTGTGGTTCCGAGAGCCGGGATCCGGCGGAACTGGCGAACAAAAGGCCGCGATCTGCGCGGCGCTGGGTGCGACCGCGCTCCCCTCCCCTCCCGCCGCCCGCACCCCGCTTGCCGCCCTAAACGTTGGCACGAAAGGCCCTTAAACCCTGAAACTCGCGGGGGGGGGGTGCTGGCAGGAAAGCGCGCGTGTGCCCCGTGAGCGTCTGGGCGAGCCCCGACACCCCGCCGTAATCCACCGCCCTGACTTCAGTCCAGCCCGTCGCCACCCACGGGGACCCCACGCGCCCCCCACGCGCCCCCCCCACCCCGGCTCCCCGGACTCCGCTTCGTGGCCACATCGCTTCGGGGGTGGGGGCGTTGGGCCGAGAAGGTACTGCTGCTTATGGCGGCAAGAGGAATTCCGCGGCCAGAGAGTGTTTGCTTTGGGGGCTCCATTCACGGGCGCTCTTTGGCTAGAAAAAGTGGGGCTGCAATTGGGAGTCCTTTGTGTCTCGCTCTGCGGCGCCGACTCAGGGCTTTTATACCGCGGTGTCTCGGGGGGGCAGCCTAGCTGCCGCCAGGATCACGTTCCTGCTCGGCGGATCCGAGCTGCTGTGTGTGGTCGAAGGAAAGACCCCCACCGCGGAGAAACGGGATCTGTGTGCTTTGGGAAGACTGAACATTTCTGCTGTGGGTTTTTAATTATATAGATAAATAGGGAGGAGAGAAGAAATGGTTTGTAAACTGCAGGGCCCAGCAAGGCTGTAATTTGTCACCTTGGTAGAAGAAACTGCATCAACTCGTGCTTTTTCTGACGTCAGAAGGACAACGGAAATATACCTGAGCAAGGTGGCTGGCCTGGTTATTAACATTGCAGGCGGGTGGTTATTCTTGAAATCCGTGCAGAACAGCCAGGTCGGGGCACGGATGCGTGTGCCCTTTGGATTTGGTTAGCTCCAACCTCAAAGTGGCTTCTTCAGAAGCACTTCATTCTCGGGATGTAGCCTTGAGCATCTGGAAACTCGCCTCTTTTGCTTTGAGACCTTAACCTAGATGAAGTTTATTCGTTCCTTTTTTTGCACAATGGTAGTCAAGAGATATTTCCTAACGGGGGCTTATTCTGTGACAGACAATATAAAGTTCTGAGAAGCTTGGCTTCTCCTGGGAGAGACAGACAATACATACATGTGTCAGAAATTTTGACAGTTCAGTGAAGGAACCCAGGATCTTGTCAATCGGGAGGAATGCTTGAAATTGGGCACATTCCGAGAGGGCCTCTGGGAGGGTGACATTTGTGCTGAGACTGGAAAGCCAGACATCTGGTTCTTACTAGTCTCATTTTTCTTCCCTCTGAGTGATTCTTGTGGGCAAAAATCAGTTTTACTCATTGTGGCCCTAATGAGCAGAGCATAGTAACTACTAAATAAATGCATGTTGCATTGAGATCTTGACCAAACCCTCCCTTCACTTCTTTTTTTTTTTTAAGATTTATTTATTTATGCATACAAGAGCTGGGGTACAGGCCAGAGGCGTGGGGGGGAGGGTGAGAGGATTCACCAGAGACAGAGTGGGGAGCAGAACAGGCAGACTGACTGAAATATACTGCTAAGGGGAGCAGCAGGTGAATCAGGAGAGGTCTGCTGAGCCATGTGGGTTGCTCCGGGCTGGCGGGGGATCAAACTCATGCTGCAGCCTCAAACTCATGCTGCAGTGGCTGCGGATAGTTTCATAGGTTGCTTCTTAACCCTTGCACCACCAGAGAGGCCCCCTCTCCTTCACTTCTTGATGATACTGACTCTCTCTGCTTTTCTCTCTATCTACTCCCCTTCTTCTGAGTCTGAAACCTCTTTTACTACTCAACTTCTCTTTTTTTCTTAATCTCTCCCCACTTCTGAGCAAATACCAGGCCCTTGTAATGCCCCCTCAAACTGCAGCCTCATCTCCGTTCCCACTGCCTGAGTTCAAGTTGCAGGCACGTGACCTAGACGTGGTAATTCAGGTATTGTATCAGGGCTATGAGAGTCATGAGCAGACCTGGTCTGAAGGAGCCAGGCTAAGAGGCTGAAGATACCGACTGGGCACTGGTCTGAGGGCTTCTAGCGTGGCTCCATGTTCCAATTGGTCTCCATAGCAAGCTCTGTACTAATTCAGTCTCTATTAATCTCCATATCTCCCTGAGATCTTTATTTCTAAGACTCATCACATTTTTTAATGATCTTCTAAAGACCTTCAGTAACTCCCCATCTCCTACAAAAAGCCTCAATTCAGGCACTCAGGACCTCCACCCTTTCTTCTTTGAAAGATTTATTTATTTATGCATATAAGAACTGGGGTACAGGCCAGAGGTGTGGGGGGTGAGAGGATTCACCAGAGACAGAGTGGGGAACAAAACACTTGGATTGACTGAAATACACTGCTGAGGGGAGCAGTGGGCGAGTCAGGAGAGGTCTGCTGCTCCTTGTGGGTGGCTCCCTGGCTGGGGATCGAACTTGTGCTGCAGTGGCTGTGAATAGCTTCAAAGGTTGCGTTTTAACCCCTTGTGCCACCAGGGAGGCCCCCCCTCTTTCTTTCTCTGTCCCAAATCAGCCTCATGGTCCCTGTCACTCTCCTACCTCAACGACTGTGTTGGTCCAGATTGGAATGCCTTTTGAAGTTCTACATATTTGTGAAGATCCAAGCTCAATGCCAAGTTTTCAATGATGGCCTCCTAGCATTTTCATAAAAACCTGTTCATCTTTCACTTTGTGTTCAGTTGTCACTCCAGGTGATGATGGAAGGAGAACAAGGCCTTGGGCTTTGAATCAGGTGGAGCAGAAGTCTCAATGTATTGCCTGGGTGTCTTGGACCAATTGTTGAGCATTTCTAAACATTAGTTTGTTTCGTTTGATTCAAGTGGGATTGTGATGATAATAAGGATGGAGGGTGATATCCACCTTACTGAATTATCCTGAAGATTTAATTAAGGGAATGGCTGTCCAGAGCATGCCTTGATGCTAGCACACCATATTTTGAATTAAATGGGGTTTCAGTTTTCTCATTTCTCAGGAGAGGTGGAGAAAGTTTATCAGTAAAGTTCCTCTGATATTCTAATATTCTATGAATATTTAATCACTTAGAAATGCCTTTCTGGAAATAATATCTTAATGGAAACTACCCAAATCTTTTCTGTCTCCAGGAAAGCATGCCTCTATGAAAGGTGATATGGGCTGGGACCAGTGAATCCATCCCAATCCTATGTAGACTCCAGTAAAGGATACTTTGGAACACTGACCTTCAACTGAGTCTTTTGAAAACATTGTTATACTTAGTTCTGAAATTTGATCACAGTAGATTCGTTGCTGCCTACCTGGTGTGTTCCAGTACTTCTTAACAGTAGAGGAATTCAGGGGAAGGCTCCATCGTTTGTGGAAGCTTCTCAAGTACTGGGTTTGCAATCCAGGGACTCTGCCTCAAGTGAGGTTACTCTGTGTCTTTGCTAATCACTAGCTGGATATACTCGGACAATTCATTTAACATTTTTATTTCTCGGTTTTCATCTGTCTGGTGCTAATAATAGTGTCCGAGATGCCTAACTCACAAAATTGGGAAGATATAGGGAGAACAGAGCTGTGAAAATCCTTGACCATGTCCAGTTAAACCCATAGCTAATCTGCAGGTTTAGGGGGTCGGTTTAGATTAGTGTTCTCAGCTGTGACTTCACCTGGCAGCCTTTAAAAGCTACCAAAGCTCAGACTCCATCCTAGGAGAGTCAGGTGGAGTTGACCTGGATCCCAGATATGGGAATTAAACAAACAAGCAAAACCCAACACTGGGTGACTTATATATGCAGTGGTTTAGATTTAAAAACAAAACAAAATTAGAAATTAATCAAAGTCTCCATAAGTGGCTTGATAACAAGCCCTAATAGTGTGAAATTAGGGGCTTGGCTACTTTCCCCCTGATTTGACTAAACAAATAAGTCGTTGACATCACCAAGCAGCAGCCTCAAGTTACAATTTATAACCTGAGTTTTCCCAGGCATGGAAGCCTGGCCAGCGATACAGTCAG